TCATATTTTATGTAGTTCAATAATATTATTGGAACATCATGTTCCAACGCTGTGTCGCAACCAGAGCGTCAGATACGACATCAAAAAGTAAGCTTTTTCAACGCGCAACTGGTTTCAAAAAAAATATCATTGAAGGTTCAACACAATTAAAGCTCTGAAATATTGAATCACCTGCATCCCAAAGTAGTTCTTCCCTTGATACGCAAGAAGCATTGCATAACGAACCTGTTTCTTGCTCTTTTTTTGAACTGGTGCTTCTAGTGCTGAAAGACCTCACGTATAAAATTTGATTAATAATAAGGAAAATCCTAATCCCAAGAAAATTTCTGTTCAGTACACCACGGTTTGTAATACTGCATTTTGGCACTCCAAAAACCCGGCTAAGGCGATTCACATGGAACTAATCTACCCATCCAATGAGAGGAAAAATTTGATAACCACTATGAGTCACATAAGCATCGCAACTAACAACTATACCTCCGTCCGGCCCTCTTTTTACGGGTAATGGCGAAGACTTCGCAACCTCACCTCTTGAAACATCCATTACAAACTCTGCAATTCGCTGAAGAAACCTTAGCATGAAAACTGAAACTCCTGTTTCAGACTTAAACTGGCCAGTCAACTGAGAAATGAATTTGTTTAACCGACAGAACTTATCTTACCAAGAATGTACGTCAAGCAACAAAAAAAAAGACCTAAACTAGTTGAAAATTACTAAACAGGATAAAAGTTAACGACAGATCCACCATGTACAAGAATCCCAACCACCAGCTTTCAGCCAAATTCCAACAAAAGATTTTTTATATTTCCACCGTACACTGTTAATCAATAGCAGAAGACGATTTTTATGTCACTGGTTCATCTCCGTATTACCAATCAAGCTCACTATGATACTTCAGAATCGAATTATACAGCTAATGCAAACCAAAGCAAAAGCCTGCTTAAAGCAGATAGTCCAATAAGAAATAATTCTACTGAAAAATAAGGAGATTGTGCGCCATATCATTATTATTAAAAACTCTAAAGCACAAAAGACCAATTAAGAACAAAACTGTTGGGCAAAAGTAACCGCACATGTGAAGCTGTAAAAAAAATAACGAGAATCGTAGTACCAAGGTAAATAATTAAGACCAATTTCTGCATCAGTAACAATTCTACGATGTCGCTATAAAGCAATAACAGTCAACTATTTAAAAAATAATAACTTTTCAAATATTATGATAAAACCTCTATAGAGATAATGCAAAGTATTTGAATAAATACTTATTAGCACAATTAAAATGACACGTCTGCTTCGATTTACCTCTTATAATTGAATGTCGGTGTTTTGCCACCTTTAAATACGATACAAGACCAGAAACAAAGTATAATAAACCCAAAAAAAACCCAACCTTTTTATTATATTTTTAATCTCATGAGATTGTACAGCAGATTAAGAAGCAAAAAAGTTACATTTAATTAAAAAATCAGTGAGCAGCAAACAAAGCAACAGACATAGATGTAAAAAAAATAAACTGTTACACTTATTTTACCAAGAAGGACGTGCAGAAGTAGGTTCAGCCCACTGCCTGCCATATCGAGATTGCTTCCCCTCATATCGATCATTATAGTACTAAAATTAGAGGTTACTACCACCAAAAATCTTCAAAATAATAAAAAAGAGCAGGAAATACCGGGTTTTATCATCTTTAAATTAGAGGTCAGAAAAGAAATACAAGCGAAAAAAATTAGTTAAGCAGATATACCTGCTGACCACCGCAGAAACCATAGCCGAAATCATCATCTATAAACAAAGTAAGTAAGGGCCTTAGGTAACTTTAAGTATACAACAAGATGCTTACTTGTGTTTCCTTCTACAAGCTTATAACGCAAGTATTATTCAGTTGTCTCCAAACAAAATACAAAAAAATAAAAATAAAAATAAAAATAAAAATAAAATAAAAACGCAAATTTCACAAAATATTACGAACCATCGGCAAAATTACTGTATCTGCCATATCCGCTGCTTAAGGGGCCTCTCATAGCGGAATAGCCTCCAATAGTTCGAAAAGTAGTAAATTTCAGTGGGCAAGGTATGTTTGTACCAGGAAATAGCTCGATGTATCTGAAACAAGAAGTTTTGGTCCTAGTCTGTGGTAATATTTGGGAGAGTAATTAAACAGATGAAGTAACAACGAATCAAAAAACAAATTTAAGAAAATTTCCAAGCTGCACCAAAATACCCATGCTTTATCAGTCAAAATTTTTCAACTATCAAGAGGCATATAATGCGCACCTGGTTCCTATGTTTTTTTTATTCCTAGAAAGTGCATCGTGAGCTTCAGCCATTGTGGAAAACAAAACAATACCGTCACCAGATAAACGACCCTCATCATTGTAACCCAATTTAATTTCCATACAATTTAAAGGTTTGAAAAATTCTTCGATATCCAATGCAGTTACATTATAAGGTAAACCTGTAAAAATATGCAAAAATTGTCCAGAAAAAAATGTACAAAAATGTAAAATCTAAAATTCTACTTATACGATGACTGAAAATATATTTTTAAAAGTTCACTGTATCAGAGTATTGTGACAACGTAAAACTGCAAACCTCTCATAAATACTTTAGCTGCTGCATCATATTCGAGATCATCATAAAGTGGGTCATAACGCATATACCTATCCTTTTCATGATAATGCCTGTCATAAGGAGAAGGCCTAGGAGGGCCTAAAGGACCCCTGATTGGACCTCCATAACGGCTTTCTGAGAGATGACTCCCTAGGCCGTAACTAAAATCGCAATCACCAGTGAAATTTTACTCAACAATAAATGTCAATAAAATAGAAGAATAATCTGACAACTCAGTGAATCAGCAGATCCCACCTGAACTTAAAAATAAATTAAAATTGGTATTAAATATTACAAAAGCCAGGATAGCTTGAAAGCTAAAAAGATACTTGAAACGTTCGCCAGGAAAACTTCCAAAACGACCAGATCCCAGACCCAAACCTCGAAGAGGGACAGGTCCGCGCATCAATGGAATACCACCTCGGGATAATGCAGCGCTGTTTTCCATTTCTTCACCGGAACTCCGAAAAACCTCGACATATCTAAGAAAGGTGGAATGCACAGACTATTCAAAATGTAAAACAGAAAGGAAAACAAAGCAGGTAAGTAATAATGCAGGTTTATTGAGAAAACCAAACAAATCAGATGACCGTTCCAAACAAATAAAAATAGGACTTTTCTCTGAAAAATCATCAAATAGCGGCATTCACTTCTTGGAATTTCATTTCCGTACACCAGATGTTTTTAAAAATGGTAAACAAATAAACCGAAAGAAAAACCATAACTCACTTTGTACTTCAGTAAAGAAACGCTAGTATAATACACAACAAACTCTCATATAACGAGAAAAGAGAAAAGTCTAAGGAAGAAGTAAGACAATATATACCAATGAGCAGGTAAAACCTTCAATCAAAAGATTTCAAAAGGCTGTTCCAAGCAGTTAAGCACGCAAATTAACTACCCTTTATTGCCGCAAAATCACATTGTTAAACGCTGCTTTTTACACTCATCCAAACTCCAACTTTGTTAAACCCTTTTATTGACTTAATAAATTCGGGTTGTTCCGAAAGATAAAAACTACTCTACTATCATCCAGAAAGAGTATAAAAGCAACTCAGTTGTGTCACAAGAATTTCAACAACACTTGTACTGTTCCTGTGAATCAATATTGCTAAGCTTTATAAGAAACCCCATACCTCGAGCCCATGTGGTTTTTGCTCCTTTCGAGAGCCAGTTCCGCGTGCTGTTTGCTTGCCAACCGCACGAATGCCTCCCCTGAAGGGCGACCCCCCGATTCCTTGTCGATAACCACGTCCGCTACATCCAAGCCTATATCCAACCCATGAGTGGCATGTTACCTTACCAAACCGTACCAGCATAATGGTTTGGAAAGTCTCATCCTACCGTCAAATACAGAAAACAATACTTGGACACCACCAAACTTCAACCTTCCAAAAGCAAAAATTTAGCTGAACCTCCGAACACTAAAAAACTTTTCCATCAACTTCCAAGATGGACAACCTATACCACAAAGCCCATCCTTAAGCTTATAACCTTTATGAAAATGCAACTTATAACAGCAGTTCCAACATCCTGTAACTCTCAGTAAAATACACTCTAATTTCCACTCCTTTATGAATGCGCATTCTATATTGATATTCGCTACAGCTACATCGGGGCAACACGCAAAACTTGCTGCTTTTGTTCTCAAATTTACAATTCCATAGTCCCTTTAAAAAACTCCATTTTTGCTGCACAACTAAAAAGCCGTTTTTTGCCAGTAATGCAGGAAAATAACAAAATTAAACAAACGCAAATTCCAAGTTCATTTTTACCCTAGATTTACTTCTTCTCGATTTTAAAAGTTCGCTGATATTAACAATTTGTAAACTCTAATTCACTAAACTTCATTAGACATATTTTCTAATTCATGGCGATGAATGACACAACAACAAATTATAGTTGAAATCCTCAGGTATTTTCAAACCTTTGAAAAATTCTTTAACGTCCTCCACATTTGCACTGTACGGAAGCCCTCGTAGACGTACCACATAGTTACTCACAAACCGACTATCTGGCTCACCACCGTTTCTTTTTAGGACACCATGCCTAATCATCATAGCCAATTCACCTTCCGAAACGGTAAATACTAAAACAGTATAACACAGTAAAAACAATGAATTATGTGAGCATGTAAACATTTTTGCACAATTTAGAAACACTACTTTTGTACCCCAAAAAAATTACAAATGAAAAAAATAATTACCCACCTGCAGCAAATACAGGAAACAAATGAAGAAAAAAAGCATAAATCTCTGCTAAAAGTTCAGAAATATGCATTATACTTAAAAGCAAATATAATGTTTTAAACGTGGAACCTGCCCATGACAAGTAATGTACTACCTGCTGCAAATTTTCCCCAAAAAATGTTTCAGATGAGATCAAGTGTTATGATGCGTATAGCTGCATTTAAGCATTAACTATGACAAATTATTAAAAAGCAAAGGTATTACGTAGTGTCGGAAAATAAAAATCGAACTGAAGACAGTAAAGAAATTTTAACATTTGATATAGCTAACCTTCAATGTACCGACCGCTAATTTCTTTTCGGTCTAACTTTCTGGCTTCTCGAACAGCAGCCAAATCGTCCAGCTCGACATAACATTCACCACTTGCCCTGCCGTTTGAAGTTAAAGTGAAAGTTATCGATTTCGCATTGATCCCTTAAACCACGCCAATATAATGAAAAATAAAACCGTGGTTTTCAAAATACAAATGAAAAAAGCAAGAAACATCTAAACTTTCTAACTAAACCCGACAGTAACGAAACTAATTTTCTTGGTGTAAAAAATTTTTTTTTGTACAGCTTCACACCCCTTTTTGTAAAGCTCATGGTAATACTACATTCTAGAACCTCATTTACTGAATTTACATAAGAGGTATATAATTAGAAGTTAAGACTCAAAATAATCAGAACAGCTCCTGGACCTTGCAAAAAATTCCTAACATCAGATTCCTTTGCCGCAAAAGGTAACCCCCTTAAACGAATATAATTTGTATCCGGATTCATAGTCAGAATAAACTACCTGAAAAACAAAACTTCTGTAATTTTAACAGAATCATAACCTTATTTTCAGTAATTTTTCAGAAATATATTACGCCACTTTCAAATAATGAAATGTCGGCCTTAAATGATTAATAAAGTCATTCCAAAAAATGATTAGAAAACTGGCTAAAATTTCCGCCGTTTGGTCTTCGTCTTCGCCGTCTGGCTTATCAATGGCAAATTTACATTGTTCAATACAACAAAAAAGTAACGATTTAAACTAACGGTATTAATAAAACATCGTCCACCAGTTTAAGAAGAATATAGCAAAATATAGTTCTTTAAGCAAATTAAACTACACTTCAGTTTAAAGACAACACATTTAGGAACTGCCCACTCGTCACTACAGCTTTACTAATTAAAACAATTACAAGCATTGTTTCTTAGTACCACACTTGACCACTAACAGGTTTATTCTGTTGCATAAGAACCAAAAAGTTTTCTGAAAAAGGAATGAAGATACTAGAGAAAAACTATCAAAAAGAAATAAAATGAGTTTATAAAAATCCCAAGTAAAACTTCAAAACATAATTCAAAAAAAAAAGTGAAAGAAAGCAGACCGCTATATTATACTAGGGAAATCAGCACCCCGAAGCATTTTTTGCAGACAGTTTCATGCGATCAACTTACTCCATTTAGAAAATGACTTCATAACTTATTTTGGTCTCTAAAAACAACTGAGAATGTGACCTTTCTCAGTTTCAAAGCCAGGAAGTCGGTGATGCAGGTCGACGCAGGTCACTTATTTACAAAACTGACTTCTCTCAATGCAAATGGCGTTGGTGCGGCATATGCAAACCTCACCGCCCTTCCCCCAAGCCACGCCCATCAATTGCGGAGTACCTCGACTATGCCAGTTCCCACTGAAAACATCCTTTTACGCCCTACGAGTCTCGCTTACACATTAAATAACTGTAAACGCCTCTTAAGGTTGTCCCTAATTTATGACAAACGTCTGAGCTGTCTCACAAGATTGAGAAGAACATGACATTAGAACGTGCAAATGGGACAGATCACAAATTCGCCAGGTGTTCATACCAGGGGTTCCTTTCAGATTTACATAATAACCGATTATCCAAATACCGCCATAAGCATTATAAGCACTGCGAAAAATTTTTATTACAGTAAGTAAACTGCAGTGAAATGGCAAATTTCCAAAAAACCATTTACATTTCTAGGAACTCTCAGCCGTTCGGAATCCAGACATTCTCAAGCCCATCTATTTCGTCATCGGTATCATTCAAAAAGAAGCGATTTACCTTTTTACATAATTAACTTCAAGATACTCGATTTCCACTTTCCACTTTTTTTCTGCCATACGGTAACTTTTCAAACTTCTGTCTTTGGTCAGTCCTTTTCATATCTTTCATACTTGATTTCAATTAATTTACTTGGTTATAAAATGGAAATAAACTCTAAAGGTAAGTTATTGGGAAGTAAACCAGAACCAGCAGATTATTTGTGGAGTAACAGAAGCGTGAATGACGTAAATGGTCGCAGCGTCAGTTAAAACGACTTTTCTAAACGATCATTCACATCACCATCACCACTGATGTAAAACACTGTTAAGCGCGAGTCTCGTAAACTAAAAAGTAAAAAAATTCTTTTTTGAGCAAAACTAAGCTGTGAATTAATAAGCCAGTGTAAATCAAGTTACTAAGATCTCTGATTTGAAAGTACGGATTTAGTAATAAGATGTCCAAAATTACGTGATCCCAAAACGAGAACGGCTGGAGGATGTTGCATAAACGAAAGTATACAAAAATACTTCCAAGCCTACGAAACTAAAAAAGTTCAGGCTTCCTTCATTTTGGCTTCAAGCTTCGCCAACAGCTTCGTCAGTGGGAAAAAAAGTTGGGTTTAAAAGTGAGTCCTCCTACATAAAGTACCTGGCCGTGGATCAAAATAAACCCTGGGGAAAAAAATAAACCCCGGTTTTCATGATTTCCTATCCTTGGCCTCTTTATCCCTGTAATTACTAGTCCTTCTTCTACTACAACTGTTTGTACGCTTCCTGCCCTGTGTACATTACGCATATTTGTAGGCAGACGTGCAATTTATTTGAGAGAAAGAAAAAATTTCCATTTCCGTAGCTTTAGTCCTTATGATCATGCCTGCTGGACCTCCCAAATATCTAACTCGCTTCAAATCTCTGGTGAAAACTAAAACTTTAAGAAGAGTAAGCAGTTATATTTAAAAAACATCAAATGTTTCACTGACTTCTTCTGCCCCCTACAGCATATTAAGAGGAACGACATCATTGTTTGTGTTCAAAGCCTTCTTATGTTATCGAATAAACTTTTTGATATCATTTGCCTTGTCCCTACATATATCCTCATTACTGCAAATAAATCGTAATTTTGTAGATTTTATCTGTCGTATGCATCAGCCTCTGTTTAAAAAATTTAGATCTAAAATCTTCAAAATCAACTTTTTTTTTTCGGTGTACATTACCATAGTAAGAGCAACGACACGATCCAAAACACCCTTCTTATCTGCAGATAAACGTAGAATGTTTCTTTTTAAACTGTACCCAAGAAAGAATTTTTTTCTTTTTAAAAACACAATTCATCAGCCAATTGACTGCTTTTATGATTAATAAAATTGCTGTCAAAGCAAAAAAGAAAAAACATAAATAAACAAAGAAAGAAAAAAAAACTCAGCGTTCTTAAACTTATCCTAAATTTTATTATTACTGATTTCTAAGAAATATAATCGTGTTTCCCTAACTCCCTTAAAAAAAAGCTCTTATAAGAACATTCATTCAAGAAATTTTGACATGTGCAAATGAAAGTTTTTTGCACATTAATTTTTTCTGACTTGACGGTTATGTAAAAATTTAAGGAACTGTTGATTTCTTCTTCTTCCAACCTGCAACTACTTAGAAATGCAGCCGTAATCTTTAGTAAGTTAGAATAAAGAAAATTCTCAGTCCTTCAACTAATTCACACATACAGCGGAAAACAGCGACAAGCTTCATTTTCCTCACTAATATTTTAAAGAGCATAAGAAAAGCCATGTCTTAAGTTGAAACAACTGTACTCAATTTAATAACCGTTGAAAACGTCAACAAATTTTACAATGAAATTCAGAAAAACATTCTGTCAGGTTTTCTACAGTTACAAGTTTTCACATTACCGTAAAAGAAAAAGAAATTCAGACAACAAAGTGATTGCATTTAATAGGAAAATTCAGGAATAAGAGACTCAAGGAGTTCGGTTTGAAACTCTTGAAAGGTCCAACGATTTTTAGCTTTAACGCAAAATTTCCGTTTGTTGACTGTCTGGCATCTTTATTCACTTCACTTAGAAGTGTAGATATAAAAATCCAGAAGTTATGTGGTTGCCCTTTTTTCTTCTCCAGTCAAAACTCTGAATCGATCAGGCAAACTCTAGGGACCAAGAAAATAGTAAAGATTTTTTCACAGATAAAATAATAAAAGAAATTGAGATTCCTTCAAGAACTGAGCGATGAGACCCATGAAATAACTCGCAAAGGTAGAAAGTTCATGGTTTACAGGCTCAATGCAGCAAAAAAGTACATGTATAATGGGTGAAGAAGTTTTCTAAAGGGTCCAGAGTACCTAGAAGCATATGAGTCTCGAAAAAAGGTTCATTTTCAAAATTGCACTTTGGATCAGAATAAGGGATTCAAGAGAGGAATTTGTAGAAACAGTAGAAAAGATATAACCGCAGTTTTATTTCAAAAAATAATATTAATTTATGTAAACCGGCAAATCCACGAACGTTAAAATCTCTAAAACGCTGGGAATTTCACTGCAATCCGTTACTTAATAGGACGGAATTTCGCCAGCAAGAAAAATATGTCAAGAAGATCAACGAGCCAAAAATTATCACTACAATAAGTTCTAGTAAGAATAATAAAGTATACTGCTCTT